CTAACCACAGGGGTATTAGCCTAACGCCAGTTGTGACAAAATTGTTGGCCTCGATTATCGTTTGTCGCCTCACTGCGGAACGGGAATCTCGGATTAGGGAAGAGCAGGCCGGTTTCCGCCCAGGACGTGGCTGTATAGACCATATATTCACTTTGCGGCAGGTGCTAGAGCAGCGGCACTCATACCGCAGACCGACAATACCTGTGTTCTTCGATTTCAAGAGTGCGTTCGATTCAGTCGGTCGATCGATTCTGTTCGAAATATTTGCGCGGGAAGGTGTTCCCACGAAATATGTGAACATCCTTCGTGCTCCGTACTCGAACACTTCAGGCCGCGTCAGGGTCTATGGTGTCCTATCGGAAAGTTTTCCGACCACACGTGGCGTTCGTCAGGGTTGTCCGATTTCCCCATTTTTGCTCAATTTCGTCGTGGATTCTGCCATGGAGTGTTCCCTTGCGGAATCTCACGAGGTAGACGTTGAAGTGAAGTGCTGCCTGGTGAAAGGTTAGTTGATCTAGATTATGCGGACCATATCGTCTTGCTTTTCGACGATGTTGAGGCGGCACAATCAACCCTGAATAGCCTGTCCAGAGTGGTCTCATTATTTGGTATGCACTTCGCACCTTCAAAGTGCAGTGTTGCTGCAGGATCACCAGCCACTTGATGACCCCTTGACGCTTGCTAACGAGGAACTCGAGGTGGTTGATCAATTCACTTATCTTGGCAGCTGCATCAGCAATGATGGGCGCATAGCAACTGACATCAGCTCACACATTACAAAGGCCAGAGCTGCCTTTTTGAACCTGCGTCATCCTTGGCGACAGAAGGGACTTCCCTTCGTCTGAAAGGCCGTGCATACAAGGCCACAGTGAGGGCCGTTCTGCTCTATGGTAGTGAGACTTGGACCCTTCGGTCTGAAGATCTGAGGCGCCTTAAGTCTTTGATCATCGTTGTCTGCGAAGCATTGCTGGTGTCGGATTGCACCACGTTGTGTCGTGCATGTGGTTACTGGCAAGTAGAAGTGAGACCCAAGTACCGTGAGAAAACGACATTCACTGTTCCCAGCGGTCTATGTCAATTTGAAACGGTGGCTTTTAGTCTGGTTAATACTCCGGCTACGTTTCAGAGACTAATGCTGGAAGCCCTGGAGGGTATGACATCTGGAAGCTGTTTAATTTATTTGGACGACACTTTTATGAGCGATCGATTTAGGAGCATGACCGGCGGCTACGCCTCCTATTGGATCGGCTGCACGTGATGGGTTTGAAACTACGGGTTCCAAAATGTCACTTTCTCCTGCATGAATTTATGTACTTGGGGCACATTATCTCCCATGAAGATGTGAGGGCCGACCCCGCCAAATGTGAAAAAATTACTTCTTGGCCACAACTTCAAACGACAGCAGAACTCAGAAGTTTCTTAGGATTGGCTTCCTACTATCGACGGTTTATTTTTAATTTTGCGGCCATCTCAGCTCCCTTACATCGTTTAACTGCGAAGGGACGAAAATTCTGCTGGACTAACGAATGTCAACATGCTTTTGCAGAGTTGGAAGTTCATCTTACGACACCCGCAATCTTGGCTTTCCCTGACATCTCACCAGAGTCGGGAGCTTTTGTGTTGGATACCGATGCGAGCGATGAAGCGATCGGCGCAGTTTTATATCAGAGAACCTTGGCGGGCGAAGTTGTGATCTCCTACGCTAGTCGCCGCTTAGATTAACGCCAGAGAAACTACAGCACCACTCGACAGGAACTACTGGCGCTGGTGAGTTTTTCGCGACCGTACCTACTTGGAAAGTCATTTCAGGTTCGCACTGATCACCAGTCACTTCAGTGGTTAAAAAGCTTTCGTAAGCCGGAGAGTCAGATAGCAAGGTAGCAGGAACAGCTTCAAGCTGCGAGTGTCGTCCTGGAACACGACACTTTAATGCAGACGCGCTGTCAAGGCTAGTGAGGTCCGAACAGGTCAATTCGGCTTTCGTAACCCCAGAGACCGGTATTGCGTGGGCCGGAGAGCATGTGACCCGTACATAGCTAACACCGGCAACCGACAGCTAAATGGCTCCTCGAAACCAACTGGAACTGAACTTCGTGAACGTACCACAGAAGTGCGCTCCCTACTCGGGCACTGGAAGGACTTGAGAATGATCGACGGTGTTCTGTATTCGTTGATAAACTCGGTCCGCAACTGATTACTCCGATGACCCGATCTCTTGGAATACTACAAAAAGTTCATCAACAATTGGACCATTCCGGTCAGTTTGAAACGGAGGCTACAGTTCGCCAACGGTACTGGTGGCCGGGCATCCACGCCGATGTCGTTCAATTCTGTGCGTCATGTGAGCTCTGTGCTACTTTGAAACCAATGGTGTCTGTCCCTCGTGCTCCTTTAGAACCAATAGTTCCTTCCGCACCAGGGCACCGAATTGGAGTAGATATCATTGGTCCTTTGCCGATAACAAAGAGCGGAAACTGCTTCATTCTAGTTATGATAGATTACTTCACGAAGTGGTGCGAGGCAATACCTATCAGATGCCAAAATGCATCCACTGTCGCTTCCACCATCGTCAACGAGTGGATGACTCGTTACGACGCACCCATATCCTTGCACTCCGATAAGGGCCATCGCAATGAGGCTGGACCTTACCGTGGTGCGATGGTTTGCGTGCCTCAGAGATCCATTGAGCTATGCTGGGTGGTGCTTTTATTGCACCTTCAGAGGCACTCATACCAGATTGATCAATGGTCAGAGGCCAGACAAACTCAGCCTCCTGGTCCTCCAGGTTGGGTGTTGGAATGGGGGTGGCTCCTCATTTCATAAAACGGGCTCTGTAGTCCAGTGCCAAAACCCGCTGCCTTGCGGTAAGGTTTTTGAACCAAAGGCTTTGGTTGAGAACCCTAATCGTTCTGCTGTCTAGGCCTGGGCAACCTGACAGTATTCTGCCCACGCAATACAATGAACCTTTCCTACAATAATTTCTTGATGCTCTGGCCGTCGCAGAGGATAATAAACGGCGCCCTATCTGCTGCATCGAGCAGGGTGGATAGGGGTTGTGAGTTCCTTTGTCCATCCCCCTCCTGCTTAGCATCCCCCTCCAATCACGATCTCACTTGTTAGGCATAATATGACTCTTTTACGACAGCCAGCTGTTAGCTCTCCGGAACCATGTCCATCCGTTACTGGGGACACAGCGGGCATGCCACTGTTTTCCTTTTCTTGTCTTTTGTATTGCGGCACAATAGCTGAGGTGTTTTCCACCTCCAGCTAACGTGTAATGATGATGATGATGACTCCGATCAGGGCGCGGCTTTTGAGAGTCATCTAATGCAAAAAATGTGCCGCTTGTTAGCCATTAACAAGACACGAACTAAACCGTATCGTTTAAAAGGAAATGGGCGCGTTGAGCGGACCAACAGGACTATCAAGGCTATCCTACAGAGCTTCGTTGAATGCCATCAGTCTAATGAGTGGGACGAAGCACTGCCACAATGTAGGCTTTCCTATCGGGCCTCGGTGCACTCTACAACCAGCTATGCTCCAGATTACCTTACTCTCAGCCGTGAGATTCGGTTACCTCTGGAATTACCATCGCCTATCTGTCTGGTTGAAGCTTACTCCATGTCGGAATACGTCCGCAATACCCGTGAACGACTCAGAGTAGTTTTTCAAAGCGTGCAGGAGCACATGAACAGAGCGCAGCACAGCCAAAAGAAATATTATGATCGCCAAATTCGAGACCCTGAATACCGAAAAGGTTATCGTCTATGGCTACATTGACCAAGGCCTCTAGCTGGCGCACCAGGAAAATTCCACCGGGAATGGCAGGGGTCATATGAGCTTGTGTTCGTACGCCCTCCTACTGTGTATGTGCTTCGAAACGTTACGGATCCAAACGCCGACGTACTGACCGTTCAGTACAACCAACTGAAACCGATGACACCGTCTTCAAGTTCTACGCCTGTAGATGGAATCGTGCCACTCGGTTCTCTCCCGATAGGCGAATACACTGTAGAAGTGCCAGCTGTGGGGGGCCTCGCTGTGGTTCCCGATGCGCTGGCACTGGGGACAGTGCCTCACTTAGAAGGGCAGACAATGTAGTACAGTTGAAACCGAAATGTATTGTTTAATTTGACCGCCACTACTAATGTCTTCTTTGCTTGTTTTACATGGCTTGACGGACCGAATGCACAATGAATGAAGGGAATCAAAAGCCAAACCTCAATACCTGTTCCTTGTAAATTCCTTGTTTATATACTTGCTTACCGTGTAACACGCTATTCGCATGCTGCGCTGTTGAATACATCTGTCTCGGTCCCGCTCGTTCGTTCTCGTATTCGACTCATTAGAGCATCGTCGTCTTGCATGATTGCCGTTTCGTACGATCTACTGCGTTAGTTACTCGGTTGCTGATTCTCACGTGCCGTTCGTTTGTAGCCGGGACTTCTCGTCCGGAATCTATTACAATCCGACGACCGATGCACATACAACACTCGAAGGCTGCGCAACGTCACCGAAACCAGAAGACGAAGAAAATTCGAGGATGCGAGTCTATCTTGTTGTGTGAGTTAATACAAAGGTACAAAAATGACGGAAAATGGAGTAGGAAGTTACAATGAAAATGTGAAGAATTTATAAACACTACAAGGTCTTCTGTAGACGCTGAGGACAGCGTCTCAGAAGAGGGGGATAATGTAGCGCGTCAGCGTTTCAGTAGCAAGTCAGCTATTAAGTATTCGTCGAGCGTAGCCTTTAGGGTGACCGTCGTTTCCTCTTCTCTTTAACTTTCCAGTTCGTCTTCGTTGTTGTTGCAGTAGCCACCTATCGTGAGCTTTCACCTATATCCAAGTAGTCCCCTCACCCTCGCCCCTCTACGGGCAGCTGTGACAGTACCACCCAGCTAGCCACCAGATATGACAGCAGCACACCGTTAATCCAGTTCCAACACTTATTAGGTGGTTCACCAGTCGCCTACGTAGTATCTCCTTTGCCTTTTAGCCCCCTCGGTTTAATACGACCCACGTACGCCCCGGAACCAGAAGCCTTCGGAACCCACGACCGGACGCATATTACCATTTGGCTCCTTACTCATCACCTGGTCCTGACGGCTTGACCCTTTGTTCCTCAAATCTGTGGTGCATATATTGCCTCACCTATCTCGCAGGTCTTCTATCGAACGTTTCAGTCCGGACTTCTCCTGACCGCTTGGAAGTTGGGCATCATCATGCAGCTTTGTCAAATCAGAGCAGGTCGGTTTGATCGCAGCTCCTAACTCCGGTAAACGACCTTAACGTGAAACTGGTGGCAGTAGGTTTTGTACATCTATCCCCTTTAATTCTTAGCTGGATAAATAGACTAGACCGCTACCTGCTTCATATTTTGTTCCACCTCACCCAACTTCTGATAGAAAGATTAACGCTTAGAGCCAAGTTAAATTAGACCTTACAAGTGACCGTCGTGCCTGTCGTACTATTCTATTTTACCCTTGTTAATCTGACATTATTGTTCCTTCAACGTTTGCATATCTTGCGTGAGAAACCCACTATTATGACAGCCGTAAACACACTTTCCATGAGAAAGGTGCCGCCAGCCAAGCTATTGCGTTGCTCAATATCACAGCCGTCACAAAAAGCGCCAATAATCCCACTGCTTGCAGTACACAGGATAACATTATATGCTCTGGATTTCGGGACAGAATGGATGCACTTGAATGCTGTGAGATTTGCGAGAAAGCTTGGCTGCTGTTAGGCCTCTGGTTCCTATTATGGATTCGCTTTCCCGCTTAACTAACCCACTTCATAATCCGTCATCCGATCACATACATATCGCTGGCAGCTTTATTTCCACTGACATGTCCGAACTGATTACCCGTGCAGGTAAGGTTATAGTGCTTAATGTCCCAGATAGGCTACGTTTAAAGAAGTTGCATCACCAGGCTTTATCTATAAACCTTTTCCCATCCGACCCTATCCTTTCCTGGATGCGCCCACTGTCTTTATTTCTCCCTCAACCGGAGAGCGAGCTCTCAGTGTCCTGCCCTAGTCTCCTCTTTGACTGCTCCTAGACCATCGAAATGTAAACACTTTAGGCTCCGCACAATTTCCCTCACATCACGAGCCCGTTAGACTTGTTTACCCTATATTAATATAGTCTCTTTCATCCCTAAGCTGTCCATTTCTGCTGACCCTCTTTATTTTTCTTCCCGCCTTAACTGTATGACTCAGTCTCAATTGTCTGCTAATGCAGTCTCATCTAATTTGTCTCCTGCTCTCCGACTTCTTTCAGGATACTGAGACGCTACCAGCCCTTTTTCAGGATTTTGGACTCCGTCTTCATAACCTAGTGCTCCACGTTGCCTTTTTCACACTATCACTAAACCGTTTGCTATCCCGATCCTTTCCTCTCCTTATCGTGCTTTTATTTCTTCATCAAGCAGACTGCCAACTTCCAGTGCTTGGCACTAACCTAGTCTCATCTGACCAGTCTGTACCACTGGGACCTCTTCCAGACTACGGAGAAATAAACGGTCTAGGCTTTGTAGACTCAAAGCTATGTCTCCTTCAAATCGACCGCCTGCTGGCCTTGTTCACCCTTTATTAACATTGACACATCCATTTCCAACCTATCCAATTCTGGACCCACCCCATTTGTCTTCCAAAATTATCAATGCGTGGACTAATCCAGTCTCATCTGATCCGTCTCCTGATCTCCGACTTCTCTCAGACTACTGTGACGTTTCCTGCCCTCGATCTGTGCTCCGTGACCATCCACTTGCCCAACTTCTCTGATAAACACGGGCGATACATGTGATGGTTTTGTCCCGGCTGTTACGGCTGTATTGTTGACGGTTCGTTTAGCTACTCACGACGGTTCTTAAGTTGTGTCAATTCTCTCCGTCTTAGCGTTTCGTAAACTGGGCCAATTTTGATGTGCATGTTTATCGAGTGCTTCGTCGAGTACTATGCCTCGAGGAACTCTCTTCCTTTTCGTGTCTCTCGTTGTGCTAGGACCTCTGCGTTGTTCCAATCAAAGCGATGTTCTTCTTAGTCTGTATGTAGGGAAACCAGTGAGAGAGCCTAGTGGTTCTTACAAGCTTTCTCGTGCTCTTGTATTCTTGTAGACAGTTGTCTTCCTGTCTGACCCACATAGTTCTTATCGCAATCTTGACACCGTATATGGTAAATAACATTTCGTCTTCCGTGTGCTTCAGATCTAGCTTTAGGTTCCGACAGGATTCTTCTCAATGCGGCGGTTGGTTTGTGAGTCACTGTAAGACCGTACTGTTTGAATACTCTTGCTGTCATTTCGGATATGTTCTTTCCACAAGGTAGGACGATTTTTTTTGTTGTCATTTGAATAGGCTAAGAGGTCGTAGCCTTGTTGTTTAGACATCGCCGGACAAAGCTATGTGGATATCCATTTAGATGAAATGATCTGAACATGTATTTCTGTTCTTTCCGCTTCGCCTCATGAGTGCTGCAATGTGTTTCAATTCTACGCAAGAGGGTCCCTATTCAGCTTATTTTGTGACATTTCGGGTGATTGTTGTAGTAGTTTGGATTCCGATCGGTGTGTTCCTTTTCTGTAAACCGATGTTTGTAGCTCTCCGTCAGTCGTCCTGGTGCCTAACGCATCCAAAAATGGGAGCTGGCCTTCTGTCTCCGATTCCATCGTAAAATGAATGTCCTCAATGGTGTCATTGAGCAACTCGTATGCAGCCTCTACTTGACTACGTTTCCGTATCACGAATGTATCATCGACGTATCGCATACACAGCTTTGGGATGTTTATGGGCAGTACGTCCTCTTTAAGTTTCTGCAACGAGTCCTGACACAGAGGATCCCATAGGGGCACCTTTTACGTGCTCATAGATCTGTCCATCCAAAGCGAAGTTGGTCGCGAAGCATCGGTCAAGTAGCTTGCTCAAATTTTCAGTCGTCAGCTTTCCGATTGTTTTCTTACTTTGGTCCATCCGTTCGATGATTGCTTGCTTTGCGGTCTGTAAGTTGACAGACGTAAAGAGTGCGGTCACGTCGAACGATACCATTATTTCGTCATGATCTACTCTTATAGCTTTGAGCTCCATAAATTGTTGTGCACTATGTATAGAGTGCTGTGATCCAATTGTTAGGTACTTGAGACGTCTCCACAGCTCTCTCGCTAGGTTGTACGTAGGTGTGCCCGGGAGCGATACGATTGGTCTTACTTGTGCATCGTCTATGCTAGTTTAGACGCCTGTAGAATGGCACTATGTTCGGATCGCGGGCCATCATTCGATCACGATCTTCCTTTGTGATCTGGTTCCATTTCTGGAGTAATTTCAACGTTCTATTTGTCAGTTGCGTTGCTCGTCTGTTGATCGTTTTTCCGAGCTTGGTTAAGAGATCGCGTACATTTCGCCACCATGCGAGGTGGCATCTTCAGTGCGGTAATAGGCAGTGTCTAATGCTGCTTATTGAATTGTCGGTCCGTCATCCACGGGCAGGTGACTTTTGAAGGATGTGTTGGTGACTAGAACAAACGATGGTGAATTTCAAACATCCATTCACAGGAAAGGGACACATACGGATCAAATTTTAAACTTCTATAGCAATCACCCAAAGTGCCACAAAATAAGTTGCGTGCGGACACTATTTCGCAGGATTGAAACACAGCGCAGTACAGTGGAAGCCAAACGGGAAGAAGAGAAACATCTATTCGATTCGTGCGAGCGCAATGGATACCCACGCAGCTTCATCCGCAGATGTCTAAACCATAAACTTATGAACACCGAGCCGTTACCAAATGCAAGCAAGAGGTTCGTTTTGCCGTATATGAAGAACATATCTGAAATGACTGCCAAACTGCTCAAACATTACAGCATCGTGGTCGCTCATAAGCCAACCGCTACTTTGAGAAGAATACTATCAAACCCAAAGGACATTAGGAATGCACAAGAACGAACAAACGTCGTGTATAAAATAAATTGCAATAATTGTGAAATGAACTATGTGGGGCAGACAGGAAGGAAATTGTCCACACGAATACAAGAACATCAGTGGGCTTGTAAAAAGCATTATGCATCGTCTCTTGTCTCAGCGCATGTGGGTGAGGAGGGACATAGCTCTAATTGGAACAAAACGGTGATTTTAGCTCAAACAACAACAGAAAGGAAGAGAGTTCCTAGAAGCATGGTACTCCTCTAATAATTCGATCAACGTGCGCATCGACATCGACCCCGTGTACCATCAACTCAGAAAGAAAGATCTCCGGCGAATCGCAAGACGTGGTTCAGCCGTGGAAGCAAATGGGCAGAGATCACGTGGCGCAAATCGAAATCGCCACCTTCAAAAGTCACCTGCGCGTGGATGACGGACTGACAATTCAATAAGCAGCATTATGCACTGCCTATTACCGCACTGGAGATGCCACCTCGCATGGTGGTGAAACGTATGTGATCTCTTAACCAAGCTCGGAAAAACGATCAACAGATGAGCGACTAAGCCGGGCTACCAGGGTTCCAAAGTCACTTGCGTTGTTGAATTGTTTTCGATGCGGCGATAGCTTGTTGTGTCGCTCAGAAGCTGTTTTGCTTTTTTTCTACATAATCTGTTTTATTCAATATAACCGTCACGCGCCCCTTGTCCGCAGGTAAATTGACAATGGATTCATCAGTTTTCAAGGCTTTTGTTGCATCCATTTCCTGTTGCGATAGAGAAGAATGCCGTTTGTTACGTGCTACAACTGGAATACTTGTAGATCTTAGCTATTTCTGCGTATAATCGTCAAACCCGCTGCACTGGATTGCACTTTCGAATCCGGACTGGAAATCTGTAGTCGTGGAATCCTTGAAATTATACTTAAGCCCTTTAGTGAGGACTTGTTTTTCTGCTACGGACAGTGGCCTATTGGATAGATTTCGGATCCAGTCCTCTTGATTAGCTTCGCTATTGTCGTGAGTCAGTTTAAAAACTTGTTCTTTAATGCCTCTTGTTTTTTTTCTCTTAGTATTTTCCACTCTGTGTTCTATTGCTAAGCTGAGCTGCTCTGTTAACTTTTGTCCCATAACTCCCAGACAACTAGTTTGATACTCGTTGATACATCGCTCACATTTTCTGATGCGGTTGTGGGCTTCCGTGATCATGATCTGAATCATACGTTTCTCAAATTATCGTGCAAGTGTCCAAGCCTGTGGATTGTTACTCGGAAGTCTGTAGCTGACGCTGCGGGGGAGAGCATCATTGCGTAAGCAATCATGAAGAAAAGTCAGTTGCTGTCGTGTGGAGGGATGTCTGCAGGCGAAATCCTCCCAGCGGCGAACAGTTCGGCGCGTTTCGCACCCATAATTGTTTAAAATGACTTGATGCACTGGTAGCCCGGGTTGATCGTTCCTGAGTTCATCTGTTCGCCGAGCTTCGCAATTGGTATGCAAACGTTTCATCACCACACGAGGTGACTTCCTCATTGCGTTGCTGGGTCAAACGTAATCCTCTGACTTGGTCGTCGATTTGTGATTGATTAGCAAGTGACCTCGGTCTGTGCTCCGTGACCATCCGTTTGCCCAACTTCTCTGCTAGACTCGGGCGATCCATGTGATGGTTTTGCCCCGGCTGTTGCGGCTGTATTGTTGACGGCTCGTTTAGCTGCTCATGACGGTTTTTAAGTCTTAGCGTTTCGTAAACTGGGCCAATTTTGACGTGCATGTGTATCAAATGCTTCGTCGAGTACCATGCCTCGAGGAACTCTCTTCCTTTTCGGGTTTCTCTTTTGGATCGGTAGAGATCCCTCTGTTTTCCAGATGTGTCACAAAAATGTCAAACCGAACGCTGGGCTTGTGTGCCATAAACTCCGGAATAGCTGAATTGAGCATATTCACACTACCGGACGGCTCAGGTTTTACATCGGCATGAAAAATGATAGAGGAGTAATACGAGTGAAGTGAAAAGAGCAAGTGGACATCAATTAATCCACTAGGAATTAGGGAAAAAAGGAACTCGGACGAACTCACCGAAAAGGAAAGGACCAAAAAGATTTTGACAATTCGCGCTTGAGAATCAAGGTCACAAATTTGTAGGACTAATATTTACTCATCCGTGCTAGTTCGTTTGTGCTGGTGCGGATTTCAGAAAACCGGAAGAGCGAACACAACGAATTGTATCCGTTGAAGGCTACAAACGGACAAAGATGAATAAATCGACGAAAGCGTACGTCAGTGTCGTAACTCGCCGTGGATGCAGCTGATGAGCCGGACGTAGATAAAAATGGTCGTAGGGTCGGCGTTAAAACAAAAACCAATAATGTACGCTTGAGAAACGAATTTGTACATACAAACATAAGAAATATCTTTTAGGTTGCTACAATCCATTGTCCTACATGGTTGTTTCTCTCAGGCCGTTCTGACTGAAAATACACTCTAAGGCATGCATTGTGCTACCTGCTGACGTATTTCGCATCACGGCACTTTCGGGCCGCTTACTGTAGGCGCCGATCATTACAAGAGACCAAAGTACGTCCATCGGTCCCCAGGTATCCGCGCGCGTCGCGATTCTGGATTGGGCAAGACTACCATGTCGTTCCTACATGTAACCTGTACGCACACGAATATTTGGAACAATCACGACAATCTCAACTTCGCTACGAAGCTCCAACTAAAAGAATTACATCCGAGCAATTGCTTGAATGACTTTTTGGGGATTTGGATTAAAACGCCTTTCTGCGGCATTTTTTATGATGGTGCGGTCAACAGAAAATTGGCCGTTAATCTCTGACAACGAATCGCGCCACGCGTAAAATTGAGCAAGTTCTTTTGGACGCCCTCGGCCAGCCTTGTCTTATGTATTAGACATGACTTCTTATAGTAGCATGTTATGTTCATTGGCTTGCTTGGCCATCTTGGCGTTGCTTTGTAAGGCATTCACGAAATCATGTAACACCTAACAAATATGTTTTGCAACGATCGCGGCAATGGCTGCATCCTCTGATTTACATTTGCCTACTTTGATTAGTCTTGATAAAGCGTCTGCTTGACCATAGACTTACGACCTCGGGGGTCAGGATAAAGAAACTTCGGCATGGAAAGAAGTTCTGCATGCACTCCATTCATGTATAGAAAATGCAACATGCTCACTCGGCCATAATAGTCGAAGTCTACTTTCTGGTAACAAAACCACCATAGTGTTTTTCTACTTTAAAACGACAAAGCGTAACTCACTTGTAGAGTGCCTAATAGATATTTTTATTTTCAGCACACCTGAGAAATGCGTCCGTATTCATTCGATTTATCTTGTGCCCTATGGTTGATAGTATAATGAAGGACACTCCTTGTGACATACTTGCGTTTCTGTTGTCACCTAGCGAACATTAATGAGTCATGCATTGCATTTCAGCAGCGATGACGCAACTTCCTTACTCTGTTGTCTCACTCCATTCAAATGCTTATTCCTATGTGACCGTGATCAGCAGCACGTGGCTGCGGCCTGAGTGGAACCTAGTACTGTTCCCCAATGTGCCCCATTTTGATTACTACAATGCAGTACGAAATCATAGAGAAGCCGCTCCGGGAGATCGCTTGCTTGAGGCAGATGTGATTGCACAAACGGGTAAATATGTCTTGTGTAACGCAATGTCAAGTTGACTTCAATTCTGCTCGGATTATCGCAGCAACATTCATGAACAGAAAATGCTCTAGGAACTCCGAAGTTACCATGCAGATAGGAACGCCACTCCAGCCAATATCGTAGGTTGTGTAGAAACTGCTTTTGTTCAACTATCCACAGGCCTTGTACCGCAGGACCAACATCAGTAGACGATGTTAGCGATCACTCTCGCAAGAGGGGGCTACCGGCAGACGCCACTCATGATGTTCCGACATCCGTATCACTGCTTCACGTCGAGCGCACTTCTACCGATAGACACTGTACAGCATCTGTATGTCAAGAATTAACTGAACCTCACGTGGAATCATGGTCTAGTGAGTTATTCGTTTTCTGTTGTTAAACTTTCAACACCTTTGCAGCTGGCGCAAGACAACTTGAACCTACCGTAGGTAAAAGAATGACCAGGACCATAGGTTGGTCTCACCTTTTAAATAGATTCATGTGTTACATTTGTAGGTACAAACACGCCTATGGCTGAGAGCTTCACGACAAACTCAAATTCTGATTTCGGTAAGCATGTGTTTTAATGGCAATATGCGTAGTACAATCCTCACACTTGATACAGCGACTCCTGGCAGACCTCACGGAAGTGAAGGAGGAAATGACAGATATTCGAGGTATGCTTGTGCTGGTGGCCCTGACGTGCAATTATATCATCTCATAGAGACGCAAACATATGTGGTCAACGAACTCAAAAGCATATTTGCGCATATTAAGTTACTGAGCGATGAAATTCGGCGCTCCAGCATAACAACCCTGCCTCGTGAACTACCACCGCCAGATACCACTGTTGACGAATGAAGCACCCCATATGATGACTACCGCTCAGTTTGAATCGATTGCCTTGGTGATAAGTTTGAAAAAGTCAAACTCCAACGTCGCTCAGAATCTTGCATTCAGGAACCCGTGCTGTTAATTGTTTGCATAAATTTTTGAGTACCTAAACTTCTTAAGAGCCCGTTACATTATCTTCTCCATTACGCGAAAAGTGACGTAAGTGTGATCAGAAGGGTTGTTTTGGGGCATTGGTTTCGTATGATTATATATATATATATATATATATATATATATATATATATATATATATATATATATATATATATATATATGGCAAGCCTGTGGCAAGCCACAGGACGCCTGCGCCTACAGAGGGACCATGGATGGCTTGCGCTGCACCACCCACAGCTCCAATCACACACCGCCTATCCAGTGTAAACCCGAAGGAATAAGACCGGGAGGCATGAGGATGGGAACCACGTTTCATCAACGGAGCCGGCCCACACTCTTTCACAGGCAAACACAAGCACACTGTATTTGGGGAATCAAGCGCACACAATGCGGTGGCTGGACCCTAGTCCGCTCCACATTGAGTGCATGGAACCACTCTTTGAGCGTAACACGGCCACGAGGACGGTGCACTCCGTCCCCTCCAGCAACGGCCAACTGTCTCCTGGAGCCAGTATGGACGAGGTAATGGGTAATAGACAGATAGGCACCTTGTCAACATTCACATCAAGCGCAGCCACACCGTGGAGTTCAAACAACATCTACTTCTGATATGCAAGGTTACTCAGCACGCAAGCAAACGTACCACATACGCCGCCTTATTGGCCTGGATTAATAAATCGAATGGGAGCGTGCGCATCATGCTTCTATTCCGCGTGCAATAGTACCTTCTCCTGCACCTGAGCAACTGCCCTTATGATCAGTCCACGGAGTTCGCATCGATCAAATTTGCCTTGGATTCACAACACCTGAAATTAACATGAGTGTCAACAACTCGCCTTCTTCATATTCTGGTAACATTATTTTCGGTTTGTCCGAGTGCCGTTTCCCTGCACTAAGTTAGCCGTACCAAAGCGGTATGAGTATACTCGTCTAATTCATTCGGTATACACATATACATAGATTGGCGTCATCCGTGTCCAATGGTAGGTCGAATACAACATATGCACATGCGTTTATCCAAACTTAAGTGTGAGCTGTCACAAACTGGATAGAGACACATTAAACATCATGCTCAATGGTACGACAAACGTGTATGGGTTTCGTTCGGAGGTCAGGCTAACAAGCACTTTCGCAGGCATGAGAATAAGTACCCAACACGAACTGTTGATTTTTCCTCAACATTTAGACGATACAGCCTTAAATCTTGGGCATCCATATTTGAAGGAACCCGATATAGCAATAGTGAAGCAACTGCTAGGTAGAATGATAAATAAACTACCGGTACGATGAAATAGTGGGTACTGAGATGTTGCTCTCTACATCTACAGTCTGGTTTGAGTAGCTGATGGGGAAGATGATCACACAGCAGGCGAACGCGATGCAGTGTCCACTTCTGGCTCTCTGTGTCTTCGACCGGTTCGGTCATCTGCTGCCCGAGGTATGTGCACTTACTCAAAGAACGATCGGTGCGCAACCTTTGGTATTGACAGGTGACATCAACTAAGTCCCGCTGCCCACTGTCAAACATGCGACTTTCCAAACATTGTACGCATTTTGTGTGCAAATATCCAAGTACTCAACCGTTTGTACCTACCGACGTGTACTCTACTGTGGCCATAAGCTATTTGCTAACGATCTATATCGTACGTCTCGGGTGCAGCCATTCGGTGCTCATAAAACAATTGTCGCTATGCGTCGATTCCTTTCCAATGTAATATACTAACACACTGACGTACCATTCCCGTTAGGTTCAACATTTTACTTAGTCCATCTAGGTGCAATGCAATTTCTGGTAGGCTTCTCTGCACGTCTGCCTTCCATCCGTTTAGTACGTGTGTTTTCATAAGCCCCGGTAAATTCAGTATGGCTGAGGGACAATTGGAAGTATAACTATGGTCGCTCTCATCACTAGACTGCGGAGTGGAATATGAAATGGCGACATCGTGATAGTCGCTAGTCGGTTAATTGTCGGGATTGTTCACTTGCCACAGAATTTCCAGGGAAATTTCTCTTCGAATGCATAATTCAATGTGGTCACACGAGGGACAGTCGTTGAGCATTGTGTTCCAAATATCAAATTTAACATTTTATGCGTACTGTACACGGCCAAGCGATAATAACCTTTTGATTCAAACGTATCCATCGAACTGGAAACATACACAATAATTTGCCACCCTAGCTTTACTCCGTAGCAACAAACAAATCGCTCGGAAAGATCGCGCGCACGTCAATTACGCATGAGCTCATGGATGGACTGAACCATTATTCTACGATGCACTGGCTCTCTAAGCGTCATGCTAGTTAGCATTGAGCAGCTGGTCAAGCTACGGTTATGTAATCTACAACTCGATTTCAAGGAGCAGAATGTAGATGGCATAGTCTGGTGAGTAATACCATGGAGCTTACATGGTGAGGTGAATCGCGGCTGAATAATAATACGAAGAGGAAGATGCCGCAGCTCATTGTCTAGAATCCGCTTGAGAAGGTAGCAAGAATAGCATAGCATAGGTCATGATGAGTATTATATTGCAATGGGTAATATGTGAAGTCATCGCGAAATACAACCGAGTTAAATAAGCCCAATAAAGTTAGGTTACCTGTGGCTCATTCGTTCTAGGCATGTGCAATAAAGATACCTCATTGCACCAAGTCTGTAGTTAAACATTTTAGCAGGAAACTGTACCCAAACGCGACTTACATGTGGGATATAGAATATGGATGACACAAAGAAAATGACGTAGATGGAGTAAGCAACTTTTCAAGTTAGCAGGGAAATAGTGCGATTATGTCCACTGCAGGCTATCCGTGTCGTAAGGTAAAACCAGAGCCTGTTATAACAGGCTCTTGTACGAGGTGAGCGAGAATCAACTGGGATGTAGAACCACCAGGCAGTCCGTCGTTTGTTACTATTTATTTCCTCCTGATCGTTCGGTATGACCGCTAGCATATCTCGATCAATTCATCAGTGCCTAGAATGCTACCTGTACCCAAGCATTTCGATTTGGATGTCACAACGTGTTGCCGCTGTTCCGGAATCAACCTTGATAACTTGTCTGAATCTCAGTGCGTTGACCTGAAGGCGGCAGCAGTACAAGGGGGCGTGCGTACAGAGACACTTGAGATGAGATACATTGACCTCATATTGCAACCCGCAATAAGTCACGATGGCACACGAGAGGAAATGTAATAAGATTTATCTGTCAAGTGGGAATGTATCGAGAAACGAACAGATGTTAGCGGGACTTGTAATTTATTCGAGTCCCATTTAGACATCGAGCCAGCAGATAGTGGTGTCGCGCGAGTGAAAATGCCATCAGTCTGTCAGGTTGGAGTGTGACGCTTACAAGTGTTTCTAAACGGCTTCCACTTAATCATTCAAGATGAGAAATCAGTTGGCATACCAAAGGTCCCTGGTTCAAGTTGCAGTACTGCAGTATGTTGTGTATGGACTACCACAAACTAGATGTAGAAACAATAACCCTCATGAACAATAACACTACGAACGTGCTCGAGTATGGATTGAATGTAAGAAAAACAGCCATATTTTACTAGTGTTGCAAGATCTCACGTATAATTATCTAAGCAACCAATGCGACTGTCGTTGGTTAGTTAACATTTAAGCGTTAACCTAAAAATGGCAGCCATAAATTTAGTCAGAAGTGGGGCATCAACAATAGATAGAGACAGAAAGATGAATAGGGAAAAAAATGCCATCAATGCGGTTACCAGGTGGAATGATACACAAATAAGAGGTACAGTAAAACAGTAATGTCTTATCGTTAGTGTGTGTATTGCAGATGCCGTCTGCCATATGCGTTAGAAGACGGTAATATCACAGATTATCTGACAACCGCAATGAAGCGGTAACAGAAAGAATATATCTAGCAAATCCCACTGTGTCCTGTCCTACATTCGGCTTTCGAAAAAGTGCTCAAACTGTTATAGCCAATTTACAAGACGTAGCCTGCATAACATCAAATTACCCAACCGTTTGCAGATGTGGCTGTTGTAGGACTAGTTAGTAATACTCCGAGACGGTGCGCGAAAGTAAGCGTGGATATCAGAAGGCAATTGGAGTCGGACACAGCGGACTGTATTCGATAGGCTACAAAAAGACGCGGACGGATGAAGCGAGACAAGAGCGAACACGTGAGCGCAGGAAATTACAAGGCGGTCGAGTGTCGAGCCGGTCGTAAGGAAGATTAAGACGAAAAGGAATAAGGTACAACCGGTCAACATTTAAATTGTACATGAAGATGAGTTATCTTTTTGGGCGCTACAGAGCTCCCCCTAGAAGGCTGAACATAGAAAGCCTTCGATTTCGAAAAGGACTGTTGAATCGAGGTTCGTAAGGCAAAATCGTGCCGAGTAAAAATGAGCGAGCGTTCGTGTCAAATGGTGGTTCGCCGGAAGTCGGAGTCCGCTGTGCCGTTTGTGATTTGTTATTTATTGATTGCAGAGCAGGGTGCATTTCGGCGAGCCGTTGGAGCGGGCTTGTCGGACTACAAAAACTGGCTAGCCCAGAAAAAGGCCGACAGGACCTCAACCTCCGCTGCTGCCAAACGGTGCGCTTGGGAGTGGTCTCTCCTCCCGCCGCACCCCGCCCCGCGCCAAGACGGCCCTAGTCCCACGAAGAAACGACCATCGTCCCACGAGGAAACGACCATTGTCTTACTGAGAAGGGACCCACGTCCCGGAACGCCACTCAGCACGCGAAGAAGCGACAGCTCGTCCCGCGGAGAAGCGACAACCTTTCCGTGGAGAAACGACTAGCGTTCGCGTCACGGTCCTCGGAAACAGTCCTGGTGTGGGCCAATCGATCGAAGGGGAGGGTTTGGGGCATGTGGAGAGCAGAAAATAGAAAAGTACGCGCAGAGGAGGCCTAAAAAAAGAACAAACGAATGATCTGCGTGTTTAAATTTTTGGTTTTTGAATATTTTTTCGAAAAAGGTTTTTCGGAGGTTTTTGATATTTTTGTTTGTTTTCAAAACGTTAATTGACCAAAAATGGGG